TGCGGGCGAGCGGCGGCGTGGAGCAGCTGCGTGACTTTGGCGTGGCCAAGGGGCTGCTCGGCGACGCGCTCGACCAGGTGGCGGAGCTCAAGGGGACGGTGGCGGCGCGCGACGTGGAGCTCGAGAAGGTCCGCGCGGGTGAGTGAGTGACCAGTTCGGATGTTCGGGTTCGGCCCAGCGCGCACAGCCACAGGCGACTACAGACTATACGTGGAAACACGCGTTGAAATAACAAACGATGAAAAGCCTCTGTATATACGAATATCCGCGACAGACCAATAGAGTGGCTCTCTCTGACTCTCTTGCGTCAGAACTCAACTTGCACTCTGGCCACTGCTCGATCCTCGCGCGGGGCGACCACATGCACATCATCTCTCGTCATGCACTCGACGTCACTGTATGCTCTCCATGCAACCACACTCTTCACACGCCTCTCTGAGCCCTGGCTGTCAGGCTGTCAGGTGCTGTCAGGTGATCTGTCGGTCTGTCGGGCAGCTGTCAGGCACTGTCAGGTGCCTCTGTCAGACCAGCTGTCAGGTGCTGTCAGTGCTGTCGGGTGCTGTCGGGTGCGTGTCTGACAGGCGAGGGGATCTGTAGCTGTCGGGTCCTGTCGGAGCTGTCGGGTGTTGCTGTCAGACGCTGTCGGAGCTGTCAGAGCTGTCAGGCTGCTGCTGCTGTCAGACGTTGGGCTGTTGCTGTCAGGTGCTGTCAGGTGGTGCTGTCGGGGTGCTGTCAGGCTCTGACACACACCAGCCACACTTATGACACTATCAATAGGAGACCAGCAGGACTCTACTACACATACTCCAGCCTCTACTCTGCCTCCGGTCCCACCATCTTTTTCATGGTGGACGTCACCATCTTCTTGTCTGCCGCACTGAGGGAATAGCAGAGAGGCAGGGTGGAGTGCTTCTTCAGGTACACCTTGCTGATGATCTGGTAGTTGCTGGTCCAGCGGAAGGCCTCCCCATTGTTGTCGCTCGTCAGCTTGTAGTACTTGCACGCTCTGTTCTGGTGACTCGGCTTCCTACCTCTCCTTTGCAGCGCCCAACGAGTCTGTGGAGAAGGTGCGTGGGCGCCACACTCCTCTTCATCACCCTCCCGCCCACACCCACTGGCTTCCCTCTCGCAGGGGGTGAAGAAGCTCGACCGCCACTTCGGCTACTACCAATGCTCCTTGTGCGGCAAGAAGAAGGGCGCGCTCTACGGGGAGACTGGCGCGATCGGCTCGAACTGCTCCAACGTGCTGCGCCACACTGCCGGCGAGTCGCACCTCCGCGCGTGGCTCGCCGACCTGCCGGTGGAAGCGGAGAAGCCGACGCTGGCCGAGCTGCAAACGTGCGTTCTCCTCGTCGTGTGTCCATCAATACCCGCACGCGGGGCACTCACCCTCCTCTCGCGGCGGTCGCAGGTCGTGTCGATCGCGCACAAGTGGCTCGGCAGCGCCCGCTCACAGCGCACCACACGCAGACCAAGGTGCGGGGGCAGCACAAGGCGCAGAAGATTGCGACCAACGCGGCGGTCGACGCCGCCGTGGCCGCTGGCCGGGCGGCGGCGGGGGCGCTGACGCCGATGACGCCGGCGGCTACGCAGCTGCACCCCTCCTACGGCGTGATCACGCCAGCAGGAGCGGCCGCCTGGGGAGCGCAGATGGCGGCGCAGGCGGGGCGGCGGCGGCGGCGGCACAGACGGCGGCGGCCACCCCCACCCAGACGCCGTAGGCATATGACTGTAGGGCACCAGAAGGCTAGCTGGTAGCTAGTAGCACAGCCGCCGGTGCTAGAGAGGGGTCCGCAGAGGTGGCGGGCGGGAGGGTTGAGAGAGAGACCCATGACCATCCCATGACTACATGGACCACACTCACATGTCTTTGCATGTAGTTTTGTTATACCCTCATGGGGCACAAGAAAGAGGCTCTACGGGGTCTGTGTACGGTCTGTGCTGCTGTCGGGCTGTCAGCGCTGCTGTCAGGCCACTGTGTGCTGTCGGGCTGTCAGGCAACTGTCAGGCTGTCACGTTAGGGCCTGACAGCGACGGGACCCCTCGCCTGTCAGGCGGTCAGACACGTGCTGTCAGACTGTCAGAGAAAGTGCTGTCAGCGCTGTCAGGCTGTCGGGCACTGTCAGGCGCTGTCCGGGGTTTGCTGTCAGGCTGTCAGACCAGGGCTCAGACGCCTCTTTCCTCCGCGAGCCTCCCCACGAGCGCTCCTTCGCCGGAGTCGGAGCCCGAGTACACTGCGGCACCGCGCACCGATCCGCCCCCCCGCGCGCGCAACAACCCTCAGGGCCTCTCCCGTTCCTCAGTCGCTCTCTCGGTGCGCCAGACTGCGGGTCCAAAGTACTCCGGCGCGCGCGCGCGCAACCGCCCCCGGCGCGGGGTGGGTTATCAGTTCGTGAGTTCTGTGGCCCCATCCCTGTGTCCCACCTTCTTCTCCGTTGCCAGTCCCCGAGAACCCCACTATATAGCGCCACCTCGTGAGCTGTCCTGTGAGCTATGTGCTGTGTGTCCAGCAGTCCGGACCCGGTGCTACGGCTAGGGTTGCCTAACGTTAATTTGGGGCCTAACAGTTGCGCTAGTGTTGGCTGAAATCCTTAACGTTGTTCAAGTGTTCACCCCAGCCCATGCTGTTACTGTTGTTACTGTTGTTACTGTTGTTCAGCGGCCAGCAAGCAGAAAACGGCAAAAAACCCGGGTAAAACCCGGAAAATACCTGGGGGTTTCCGGGTTGCGGGTATTTTCGGGTATTACCCGCACTGGACGCTGGAGATCGTCGTGGGTCACTGCCAGGCCTTCCTTATTGTTGTTCAGCCGGCCTAACGTTAGCTACTGTTGTTTGGGAGCCCCACTGTTGTTCTGTTGTTACTGTTAACACTAGCAACACTGTTCAGCTCTTAACGTTTGACAACCCTAGAGCCGTAGCTACGGCCGGTGACAGTGTGTGCCTCGTGTCGGCTCCTCCCGAGCCAATCGTGTGCAACGTGTGTGTGTCACACGCGCCCGGTGGACATGAGGACATCGCGCTGTCTCTCGAGTACTCGAGATCGTTAAAGGTTTTAGACACGTACCGCAAGCTCGAGGGTCGTGCACTGTGTATTCGCACTCCCCTCCTCACATCAAGGGTCCAAGCCCAGGCGCCACCAGCAAAGGATGCAGTAGAGGTCTCAGAGCGACAGTGATGCATGACGTGACGGCAAAGTGCGCCATCTTGCCCTGCCTGGGTGCATGGAGCGCCTCATTTCCCGTACTCCTCCAGCACCGAAGAGCCTGGACTCGCTGCCCCGAGAAAGGCGTCGAACGCCTGCTCGAAGCTGCGGCCTGAACGATGGACGCGGCCACGGAGCCGAGCTTTAAGCGCAGCCCTCTTCTTCTTGCTCTCAAAATCGATCTCGCGGTGGCGCTTTTCACGTCGCGCCGCCGCGTATTCGACCGCTTCTGACGCGTGCTCCATCGCCCTGTGCACCTTTGCCTCGCAAACCTCTCGCGCTCGTTGCAGTGCTAGAAGTGCCGTGGCCGCCTCATCTTTTGCCTCTCGCCTCATCTCGTCGGCCTCGATGAGGTGTACCAGCTTGTGGCGCAGCGCTCGCAGGCGCGCGACCTCGCTTTGCATCCACTGTGTTGAGCGCTTCCGCCCCGGCTGATTGAGCCCCGGGCGGCGGTGGGGCTGCACTGGCCGACGGCGCGGCGGCGGCGCCTCGAGTGAGACGGCAGCAGCGGCGCGCAGCGTGAAGCTGGTCACGGTGAGATCGGAGAGGAGGGCGGCGGCGGCGGAGGCGATTGGAAAGTCCATTTGTGTGCTCGGCCGGGAGCCAACCCTCTTGGGCGCGGGTTTTCTTTCTTTCTTTCTTTCTGGCACGACAAGGGCGAGACTAGCGCGACTGGCACACACACCGGCTCACCTGGGCAAGAATGTCCATTCACACCCGACGCATCCCGCGCGCCTGTGAATAGGGAAGAAGATTTTTTATCTACCCTACCGCCAACAGCGATTCGAACCCAGGTCCTCACGGCTCGAACCCAGGTCGAGCGGAAAGAAAGAAAGAAAGAAAACAGACAACCCAAGGGAGGGATGGGAGGACGGCACGCCGCCATCACACAGGGATTTTAAGGAGAGGTGTGTGATGCGCTAGCCGTCGCCCACCCTAGGGAGTCTGCCTCTTCCTATCTCTCTTCGCAGTCTCTCGCCGCTTCTCGCTGCAGCCTTCATGCCACCTCGCGGTCGTCCCACTCTCGTCGTTCTCTCCCTTGTCATTTCCTCCTCTGTCGCGTCGTTCTCTTCTGCGTCGTCCTGCGACGCCGCCGCCTGCCGGTCCCTTGTTCTCGCGGCTTCTTTCGCCTTTCGGCGCAACTCCGTCCTCCTCGCGGCGTATCCTGGCCCCTCGAGTCTATCGAGCTCCCCTCGCGCAAGGACCACATTTCTGACTCCCACTCCGATCATTTGCCTACAGGTCATGTTGTTGCTCAGGTCCACTCTCTCTTCGAACACTCGTGCCTCTACGGATGATGCCGGCGCTGGGGTCCCCTTCGGATGCATCGTGACATCTGACAACTGAATTTCCACTGGTTCGTCCTCCTCGGAGTCATCTTCCCCGTCCTCCTTCCGCTCGGCTCTTCGCTCGGTACGTTCGGTGTGGCTCACCCTCCATGCCGTGAACAGGCGCTTTATCCACCCTATATTCTTCTCTCGTTCCTCTGCCCGTGCCTTGGTCTTGTCGTTGTTTCGCACCCATGTCTGTATGGCCATCGAGGCTGCCTTCCCCACTACCTGTAGTTCACTCGTCACCTCTCCCGCGAGCTCCCTTCTCTTTCTTTCGGGTATGGAGTCCGTGAGTGCGGGTAGCGTGCAGGCAATCACGGGCGCTATTTTGTCGTACTCCTCTTCGGCGAGCGCCCCAAATCTAGACCCTTTCGCCTTTAGTCCACTATGCTAAAATTCTTTTCTGGCGCTGGCTCTTGAGTCGGTTCTCGACGCGCGCGTGCAACCGGTCGCGCAGCCCACACATATGTCGGTGATCGGCGCGAGCGTGCTCGCCGCTGCACTCGCCTTATCGCCGACGCCACACGTCGCAAGCGGTGCCCGCTGCCATCCATCATTCGCGCCACGAACGCTGGTGACCAAAACCGCCGCAACGCCGCTGCTGGCTGGCCAGCCGCTCGCGGTCCGTTGGCAGCGAGCGGGCGGTCCGCCGCTCCTGTCCGCCGCCAACGGCGCAGCAGGTCGTGGGCTGGTTCGGTCGGCTGTCGTCGGCGGCGCCTTTGCGGCTCTAGCCGTGGCGGGTCGCGGCGGCCGGCTCGGCCTGCTCTTGCTCCAGACGCTCGCCGTCTGCTGGCCAGCTTGGTCGGCGGTCCGGTTGTGGCGGAACGGTAAGCGCCGTGCTGCGCTGACGCTCGCCTTGTCCGCGGCGGCGCGCCGGTTCTGCTCGCGCTGGTGGCAGTACCTGACGATTCCGCTCTTTGCGGGCGCCGTCGGCTGGCTCACCAACAAGGTTGCCGTGGACATGATCTTTTACCCCGTCGAGTTTGGAGGGCTGCGGCTCCGCACGTACCCGAACCAGCCTCTGGGCTGGATCGGGTGGCAGGGGATCGTGCCAGCAAAGGCGGGCGAGATGGCGGCGCGCATCACTGACTTGGTCACCAACAAGCTGGTCGACGTCGAGGTGGTCTTCCGGCGCCTCTCCCCGGGGAAGCTCGCCTCGCTGCTCGGGCCCGGTGCGGCTGCAGCACAGAGCTAGTCGCGGCTGTGCTCGGCGCTGTGCGAAAGGTGCCACCCGTCCCGTGCCAGGCGTCGACCGGATCGCCGAAGACATCGTGGCCGACATAGCGCCCGCGGGCGCCGCGCAAGGCGTCGTCGGCGCGGGGAAGGCCGTCCTGCGGGGCCTCGATCCGGCGCAGCAGGCGGAGCTCTCGTCCACGCCACCGCGTACTCTCGGGTGACCTCGGGTGACCTCGGGTGACCTCGGGTGATCTCGGGTGATCTCGGCAGGCGGAGCTGCTTGCGCTCCGGCACCGGTTCGTCGCGGGCCTCACTCGCGACATGCAGGCGAGGCATGCGCGGGGCGCGCCGGCCCCTCTGCGGTGCGTAAGCCCCACCCGCGCGCGATCAGGCGAGCGTGCGGCAGCTGGTCGACTTCGACGAGATCGTGGTCGGCGGGCGGCGCGCGAGAAGGATCTGCATGACCGATTGAATGATGAAGTGTGGGAGTGATTAGGTTGGCGGGATGGTGCGCGAGAAGCAGCTGCTCATCGACCTCTTCCAGCGCTGCGGCAAGGCGCGGCCGCCGCACGTGGCGCGGCGGGGCGGCCTCCCCCTCCCAAGCCCTCCCCCCTCCCCCCTTCCAGGCGGAGCTCGCGTTCCTCGTCAACTCTGGCTTCTCGTTTGGCTGCGCACTCGGTGAGCCTCCCACAGGGTAGCGTGCGGACGCTTCGTGCCGCTCTGCCGAGCTCCCGGGGCCGCCGCCTCTCTCGCACGCCCCCGACCCGCCGCCACCAGGCGTCGTGCAGATGCTGATCTGGCTCCTGTACGAGCGCGCGTGGACCCTCGCCGTCGGCGGCGCGGTGGTCGGCTATCTGACCAACTGGCTCGCGCTCAAGCTCATCTTCGAGCCCGTCGAGCCCACGCGGTTCGGGCCGTGGGTCGTGCAAGGTGGCTCCTAGGGTTAGGGTTAGGGCTAGTTCGGGCCGAGGGTCGTGCAAGGTGGCTCCCGGCGTGGTGGCTCCCGGCGTTGGGAGGCCGCGCGGGTGGCGCGGGAGGACGCACTGCGGCGACGCCTCTCCCTAGGTCTCTTCCTGAAGCGGCAGCACGAGGTGTCCGAGGAGTTTGCGGAGGCGCGCCCTGCGGTGCTGAGGCAGAGCCACCCAGGAGCGGCGTGACACCCCTCATCGCACGCAGGCGATGACGGAGAAGCTCCTCTCCTCCGAGTCGATCTGGGACAGCGTGCTGCACGGCTCGGGGGGTCCAAAGTTCGCCGCGCTCCTCCGCGCTCGCACCTCCGAGTTCATGTCCGGCGCCGCGGTAAGCCAGCACACGCACCCGCCGCCTCTCCCGCACCACGCCCGGACAGCCCTTGCGCCGCTCGCCCTCGCTCAGGCTGTCGTCTACAGCGGCTCAGACCCGACGGCGTTCGGAGGCGCAGCGCACTGGCGTGGCCTCGAGGAGCGCGCTTCGGAGCGCATCCTGCAGCTGCTGCCGCGCGAGCTGCCGCTCGCCCACGGCTACATCGACGGAGCCCTCGACCTCAAGGCGCCGCACCGAGAGCACGCCGAGAGCACGCCGAGAGCACGCCGAGAGCACGCCGAGAGCACATCGAGCCCTCTGCCTCAAGGCGGTACCGCCCGCGGCCACACGCGCACCTCCGCCGCCGACTCCCCGACTCCCTCCGCCGCCGACTCCCTCGCACCGCGCCCCTCCCGCATGGCACCCCGTGGGCTCCGGCGCAGCGCTGATTCCGTCGCGCCCAGCAGGACACGCTCAAGACCAACCTGCGCCGCCTCTCGCCGCGCGAGTTCGAGGGCCTCTTGCACCCGATCTTCCAGCAGGACGAGCTCACCTTGCTCCTCGTCGGCACCGCCCTCGGCTTGGGCGTCGGCTACGTGCAGGCCGTGCTGGACGCGCGGTCGAAGCGGGACGACCCCAACTACGATGAGCGTGGCCGCCGGGTAGAGATCGACGTCGATGCGGATAGCGCCGTTAGTGAAGGCGCCGACGGGGACGGCGAGGCGCCAGGTCCCGCGTCCTGAGAGCTAGAAGTTGAGCTAGCAGAGACACTGGTGTGTGGTGAGTGGTGTGTGAGTCTCTTCCCCTGGCGCACGCGAGACGAGAGCGAGAGTAGAACGCGGTCACCGCGTGTATAGAGAGTATCCGCGCGTACGTCACAGGGTCTTGGCACTTGCGGAAAGGGCGAAATACTTTAAACTTGTGCGTTCGTTGGCCGCCGCGATGGCTCAACGCCAGCGGAGCGGACAGGCGCCGAGGCGGGCAGACCCAGGTCCCACGTCCTCGTCACGTGCCACGTGCGCACGTCCCAGCGGCAGCGCGTGCAGCGCGAGACCGAGAGTCGCCACGGAGCGATTCTAAGATCAGGTCTGCCACCTCCCCACTGAAAACGGACATCTAAGTTTCAAATCTCGAATAAATCTCGAAGCACACTTGAATGCTCACTTGGCAGGTAACATATGCGCCACGCGCCCCAACCGCTCCTCTGGTCGCCGCCGGCCTCCGCGGCGGCGGCGATGTCCCAGCGCCACCCATCGGCCAGCCCTCAGATCGATCGATCGGCGCTCAAAGTCGGCTTCAGATCCGAGAACGCTGCTGGCGCCGCCGCCGATCCCAGCGGCGACGCCAGCAGCTTCCTCTGCTCTCCAATGCGCCGAGAAGCGACGCGGGGGTGTTCGGCCCGCCGTGGACGACGAAGGCTCCGCCGGGCGCGCGTCGGACGGTCCGGTGGCACCCTCTGTGCGCGGCACCTGCCGGCGCCCCGACGACAGCCGTCGCGATCGGCGCTATTCTTTTTTTTAAAGCAAAATTCGAGCCAATTTGAGGAAACTCAAGCGGGCAGGCTGGAAGCACTGAGGGACGGCCGATGTCCGCCCAGTGGCAGACCTGATTTTAGAATCGCTCCACGACTCGTCCGCACGACAAAAGTTAAGTGTTACGAATACACAGACAGAGACGAGAGAGAGAAATAAGAGAGAGCGCGCGTGGAGCTCTCGGACGCGGAGATGGAGACAGACACTATCAACGGAGAGAGGGCTTCAGACCGCGGGTTCTCGTGCCGGGTCGAGCTCGCAGAGCGATGAGCTCCCACCGCGTGGCCGCACAACGGACCGCGCGCCAAAGACGGCACGGGACCGCGCTTGCGACCGCCGCTGCAGCGGGTGCATGTCGCCGGTGCTTAATGCAGCTCCGCGGCGCTGGCCGCTGTCTTGGTGAGGTACGAGGGCTTGGGCATGAATTTGTCCGTCATCGACTCCATCATGCGCTCCCACCAGCTCTGCTTTGCGCGGTAGACTTGGATGAAGTGGCAGTACTCCTCAAAGGTGATGGTGCCCGAGCCGTCCATGTCCGCCGTCTTGAAAAGCTCCTCCTGCTCGTACGGGTAAGGACACATCCCGCTGTCGAGCATCGCGCTTCGAAACTCCTTGACGTCAAGCTCCCCAGATTTGTCCTTGTCGAAGTGCTCGAACGCGGCTGCGAAGCGTTTCCGCTCTTCCGCCGTGAGCGGCGTGAGGGCCGCTTCCGAAGTCGTCGCCTTCTTCTCTGCGCTGGCCGCCGCGACAGCCATGCGCACCGTCTCCTCGTCCTTGAGCGTGCAGTTCACCGATTCCGCCAGCTCTTGCAAGCCCGAGAGGCCCCTCCCCTCCGCCTTGTCGTACTGAGCTTTCGTGACGCCGTTGGCGAGCAGGTACGCTCGGACCTCGCCCGCCTTGAGCGTCATTGCTGTGACTCCGGCAGACCGCGATCGCGGCGCAAAGAGTCGGCGCCGCGGCACCGTTTCTTTAAAACCATCCGTTGTAAGAGAGTCTGGGCCCGCCGCCTCCGTCGGTTTTCGCGTTTCGGCTGCTAGGTCCCAGGATTCCTACCCCTGGCCCTGCTGCTGGGGTTGGGTTTCAGCACAATGAGAGATATTTTTAGATCGATTTGCATACCAAACAACTTCACACTCACACGTCATTGTTTGTCAGCACAATCAACTCCCCCCATTACACACAGGTAGAGTCCACAAGGCAGCAGTAGGGGGGCGCGCGGCGGCGAGCTCCTGCAACCACATGCACACAAACCTCGTGCTGATCGGCGCAGCGGCATGCGCGGGGATGCAGCGCGGGGGTCGCGTGGCCCGCACTGCAGGGGTCGTGGTGCTTTGCTGCCGTTGCGGCCACCGCCGGCGGGCGAGCTCCTGGCGAGGTCAGTCAGGGCTCCTCCACCTCGTCTGCCGTGTGCGGTTCCGTTGGCTGCACCGACGCATACGCAGCCGGCTTTAGCGGCGCGTCCGCGCTGGCGTCGCTGAGGGCGCTGTCGCCTCGCGAGGGGGCGACGCTCGCGAGGCAGCTGAGCGCCAGCTGCTCGCACAGCTCGGTGGGTGTGCTGGCCTGGGCTCCGTACAGAAAGACGGCGCCGATGACGAGCACGACGCCGAGCATGAACTGCGCCGTGATCTGAAAGTCGAAGAGCAGGTACGAGCCCACGGCGCCCGAGACGATGGCGAGGCCCTGCGCGAAGGAGCGGAGGATGTTGTCGGCGTACCTGAAGCAGGCGAAGCATGCACGGGGTGGGCGCGCCGGGCGGGGGCCAGCGGGGCCAGCGGGGCCCAGCGGGGCTCGGGGCGTGTGCTAGCGCACTTGATGATGACAGCGACGAGCAGCCCGCCCAGCGCGTTGTTGAGGACCGCGCACCAGGTCCAGAAGCCGAAGCCGTGCAGCGGGCCCTGCCTCGCAATCTCGTCGTAGTCGTTGATCAGGAGGCCGGCGACGGCGATGACGCCTGCTCGGCCACCCGGCCGGTGAGGCGGGAGGGAGGGGAGGGCGCGGGCCGCGGGCCGGCCGCAGGTTGGTAGAGGCGCAGCGACCAGCCCTACCCCTGCCCCCCTCACCCGAGTACATTGCGAGCTGCAGGTTGCGGAGCCACAGCGACGGCTTCGAGTCCGACTTGATCATCTTCTCAAAGTAGACGGAGGCGAACGAGGTGCACACGGCCGCGAGGAGGAAGGCGCCCATCCCCACCACCCGGTTCTTCTCCGCCGCCGCCGCCAGGCTCCTGCCGCCGCCGTGCTTGCCGTGCCCGTGCCCGTGGTGGGCGTGCGCCTCTGGCGCGGGCTGCGGGAAGAGGAGGCCCTGCGCCGCGATGACGCCGAGGACGAGGACGAAAACGGCGCACCTGTGGGCAGAGCGGCGTTCCTCACGCGCCGGCCCGGCGAGAGCGCGCGAGCGGGCGCGCCGCCGCCGCACCACTGGTTGACTGAGATCTTCTTGTTGAGCAGCGTGACCGAGAAGATGGCGGTGAAGACAATCTTGCTCTGGTACATCACCATCCCGAGCGCGGCCTGTGGGCATGCGAGGCGCGCGCTCGGCGCGTCGGGGCCGCGCGCGAGCGCCGGCGGCGCCTCTCGAGGGCACCTCCAAGTTGTCATAGCCGACATAGACGGAGATGTTTGTGACGAGGTAGAGGAGAGCGGGCACGGAGAGCTGGGCCCACTCCAGCGGCCGCTCGCTGAAGTCGCGGCGGATCTTCTGCACCATCTGGCCGAAGCCGCCGCACTCGACGGCGAAGAGCACGACCGAGATGGGCAGCTTGAGCGCGACCTCCTGAAGCAGGACGGCGACTGCAGAGTTGTACGGCTCCATGCGCGTCTTCGCGTAGCGCATCAGCAGCGCGGCGGCGGTGTTCTGCGCCACAAACGTGGCGAGGGCCACCCAGCCGGTGAAGCTGACCATGGCGGCAAAAGTGCCGTGGATGTCCTGTACTGTGGATTGGCTGCACGTGGCGGTGGTGAAGTGAAAGGCGCGCGCGCGGGCGCAGCTTTTTCTTTTCTTTCTTCGCCGATAACGATTGGGGTAGGGGCCCTAACTCGTGATAGGCCACTAGTTTCCCGCAGGAGACTCACGGAGATCCTCTCCTCTCCTACCTCTTCTTCTGCCTCTGCGTCCTTCACGGACTCTCCGTGGACATCTTTTACTTCATCTTTTACGGAAGTTTGAACTTCCGTGCGTGTCGGGCGCTCCCGCCCCCCGCCCGCTCGCTGCTCTGATGAGCGCGGCTTCCGCTGCTCTCTCCTGCTCACCTGGCCATGACGCCGCTCCTCGTCCTTGGCCGCGCCAGGCTCTCCTTCCTACTGCGCCAGCCCTTCGGCTGCACCAGTTCTTTCTTCTCCGTGCAGGATCTGTGCGTCTGCGCCATTGTTGCTGTTGCTGGCGACTGTCCTTGGCAGCAGTGCACGATGGGCGATGGCCTCATCTGCTTGCCTGCGATGCTCTGCGGTCGCCTCGGCCCTGCCACAGCGGCCTCGTCCACCTGGAGACCTGAGTCGGTGGCTCCACAGCCCGCTCTGAGGAATGCTGTTGCATCTCAACTCGTGGCGTGCCTCTCTCTTCTCTCCGGCCTCGTGCTGCAGATGTGGCTGAGCTCTGCGCTCAGGTGGCTCTGGGATATCTCCTTTCCAGGCAGCACCCCAGTGCCGCCTCGTGGGCGGCGTGGCGGGCGGCCAGCTGTCACTGCTGCCTTCCCTCTTGAGTGAGCCTCGCCTCGCTCCTCTTCTACTCGAGCCTCGTCTCGTGTGCCTCCTCGTGGGCGGCGTGGTGGGCGGCCAGCTGTCACTGCTGCCTTCCCTCTCGAGTGAGCCTCGCCTCGCTCCTCTTCTACTCGAGTCTCGTCTTGTGTGTCCCTCTCCGCCTTGTCGGCGGCGCGGAGTGGTGGTCGGCTCTTGTTGCCGCCTCCGCCTCTGTCTAGGCTTCTCCCTCGCCTCCTCGACGGCGGCGTGGAGTGACGCTCGGCTCTCGGCTGTCGCCTCCGCCTCTCTCTAGGCTTCTCCCTCTCCGCCTTGTCGGCGGCGCGGAGTGGTGGTCGGCTCTCGGCTGCCGCCGCCTCTCTCTATGCTTTTCCCTCGCCTCCTCGACGGCGGCGTGGAGTGACGGTCGGCTCTCGGCTGTCGCCTCCGCCTCTCTCTAGGTTTCTCCCTCGCCGCCTCGACGGCGGCGAGGAGTGGTGGTCGGCTCTCGGCCGTGCCTCCGCCTCTCTCTAGGCCTCTCCCTCGCCGCCTAGACGGCGGCGCGGAGTGGTGGTCGGCTCTCGGCCGTGCCTCCGCCTCTCTCTAGGTTTCTCCCTCGCCGCCTCGACGGCGGCACGGAGTGGTGGTCGGCTCTCGGCTGCCGCCTCCGCCTCTCCCTAGGCTTCTCCCTCGCCGCCTCGACGGCGGCGCGGAGTGGTAGCCGGCTCCCGGTCGTACCTCCACCTCTCTCTGGGCATCTCCCTCGCCGCCTTGTCGGCGGCGCGGAGCGACGGTCGGCTCTCGGCTGCCGCTTCCGCCTCTCTCTAGGCTTCTCCCTCGCCGCCGCGACGGCGGCGCGGAGTGGTGGCCGGCTCTCGGCTCCTGCCTCCGCCTCTCTCTAGGCTTCTCCCTCGCCGCCTCGACGGCGGTGTGGGGTGGTGCTCTCTCCCTCGCCGCCTTGACGGTGGTGGCTCGATTCCCGGCGGTCTCTGGACGTTCGGCGACCGGCCTCACCCCTCTCGTGATTTGGCTGTCGCCTCTGTGGCTCCATGCCACGGCCAGTTGCCCCTTCTGTGGGGTTCATTGGGCTTTCCGGGCCACCTGCCCTCGCTCCTCCTCCACTGCGCGTTGGGATGTCAGGATACTGCGTAGCCCTTCCTGGTGGAGGCGCGCGCGATTCCGTGACTCTCCTTTTACGCGCCAATGTACCCTCACCGAAGGTGCATAGGAGTGAATCCGAGTGAAACTAGTTCGCCGATAACGATTGGGGTAGGGGCCCTAACTCGTGATAGGCCACTAGTTTCCCGCAGGAGACTCACGGAGATCCTCTCCTCTCCTACCTCTTCTTCTGCCTCTGCGTCCTTCACGGACTCTCCGTGGACATCTTTTACTTCATCTTTTACGGAAGTTTGAACTTCCGTGCGTGTCGGGCGCTCCCGCCCGCTCGCTGCTCTGATGAGCGCGGCTTCCGCTGCTCTCTCCTGCTCACCTGGCCATGACGCCGCTCCTCGTCCTTGGCCGCGCCAGGCTCTCCTTCCTACTGCGCCAGCCCTTCGGCTGCACCAGTTCTTTCTTCTCCCCACCCACCCTATCCTGCCTACTCTCTGGCTTTGGGGTGTGGTTCTCTCTATCTGGTCCGAGGTGCGATCCCTTACGGCGCCGCGGGCGGCTACAGGACGTTGAGGTCCCCTCCGTACCTGTAGCAACCCAAGCCGTTTGAGTCCCAACCCTCCGCCTTCAGTGGCAGGATCCCAGGGGATGTCAGGATACTGCGTAGCCCTTCCTGGTGGAGGCGCGCGCGATTCCGTGACTCTCCTTTTACGCGCCAATGTACCCTCACCGAAGGTGCATAGGAGTGAATCCGAGTGAAACTAGTCGCTCCTTGGCGAGGACAGAATTGACGTTGGCCTGTTCCGGCAACCCAGAGCGAGGGAAACAAACCAGAGGACCAGCACTTTCTTTGCGTTTCCGGAAATGTGAGAACAACATGTAACATGTGCATGTCATAACCCCTGTCTGCACGTCTCGCGCGCGCGTGAACACCAGAACAGGGCTCCAGGCCCCAAATTACGTGTGAGTGTTAGAGTTGTTTGGTATTGCTAAAAATCTCTCTCTGCACATGCAAAAAACAAACAAAGTGTTAGATTTGTTTGGTATTGCTAAAAATCTCTCTCTCTCTGCACATGACACATGCACATGCCATGTGCATGTTGTACATGTGCGTGTGCATGTTTTTTCTCCCACTCTCTCTCCTTCCAACACAAACAAACAACCCCAAATGACGTCTGTGTGTTCTGTTCCGTTCCTGTCAAACAAAAACATCTGATCAAAAAACAAACGCGCAAGGTCGCGCGCGGCAGCGACGACCGCACGGCCTACTCGCCCAAGTTCAAGTACTCGCTCTCTTATGTCCCACCATGCAAAGAGAGCATCTCTCTCTCTAGGTTGTGCGAGGCGTGAACCGCGCCATTCGCTCTCACCTGGCAACCCTGTCTGCACGTCTCGCGCTCGCGCGCGCGTGAACAGGGCGGCTCTCACCTGGCAACCCTGTCTGCACGTCTCCCGCGCGCGTGAACAGGGCCCGAAGGGGATCCCGTTCGCCGTGAAGAGCCAGGAGTTCGCCCTGCTTCACGTCTCAACCTTCCCCTTGGAGCGGAACTTCTTTTTCTCCCTGGCATCGCTGTCACGGTCACTGCTGCTGCTGCTGCTTGCCGGCTTCCTCGCCGGCTTCCTCGCCGCCTTCTTGCCCTCCTTCTTCTTCTTTGCCGCCTTGCGCCCACTGTCACTGCCATCGCTGCTGGCGGCCAGCTCCTTTGCTGCCTTCGCCTTGGACTTTGCCTTCTCAAAAACATCAAAAAACAAACGCGCAAGGTCGCGCGCGGCAGCGACGACCGCACGGCCTACTCGCCCAAGTTCAAGTACTCGCTCTCTTATGTCCCACCATGCAAAGAGAGCATCTCTCTCTCTAGGTTGTGCGAGGCGTGAACCGCGCCATTCGCTCTCACCTGGCAACCCTGTCTGCACGTCTCGCGCTCGCGCGCGCGTGAACAGGGCGGCTCTCACCTGGCAACCCTGTCTGCACGTCTCCCGCGCGCGTGAACAGGGCCCGAAGGGGATCCCGTTCGCCGTGAAGAGCCAGGAGTTCGCCCTGCTTCACGTCTCAACCTTCCCCTTGGAGCGGAACTTCTTTTTCTCCCTGGCATCGCTGTCACGGTCACTGCTGCTGCTGCTGCTTGCCGGCTTCCTCGCCGGCTTCCTCGCCGCCTTCTTGCCCTCCTTCTTCTTCTTTGCCGCCTTGCGCCCACTGTCACTGCCATCGCTGCTGGCGGCCAGCTCCTTTGCTGCCTTCGCCTTGGACTTTGCCTTCTCCGCCTCCGCCTCTGCCTTCGCCGCCTCTGCCTCCGCCTTTGCTGCCGCCGCTTGTGCCGCCCTCGCCTTCGCCGCCGACCTCGCTGCCTCCGCCTCCGCCGCCTTCGCTTCCTGCTCCTTCGTCCAGAGCTTAGGAGCGGCCGTCTTCGGCTTCTTCTCCCTCTACTCTTCCTCTTCCTCGCTGCCATCGCTTCTGCCTGAGTTCTCTCCACATTCACTCCACGCGTCCTCGTCCTCACTGTCGGAGAGCCCTTCACTATCCGACCATCGTGACGCTACACGGACTCCGAGCCTGTGGGGAGACGGCGCTACGCCGCAGCTAGACCCCGAGGTCGTGCCAGGAGCAGACCGTCGCGATTCCAGGCGCCAAGAAGGTCGCGCGGTGCTGACTGCCGCGATTCAGAGTGTGTCTGAGATCCGCCGACCAGGCGGGGCCGGCCGACAAGGTCTGACAGCGTGCACATATCCTTTGGTGCGAGTGCGACATCCGCCGCACACTCACAAGAGCAACAGACCGAGTCGCGTCAGCATAACAAACAGGTCGGCTGCGCGTGATCATCCGCCGGCCGAATTTGGCCGAATTTGTTACGTTTCAGCGCGCTTTCTCTTTTCCCAAGCTAGAAATGTTGCGCGCGAGTGCCTGGGGTTGTCGATGCAGTAAATATTGGCGGTTCAGCCGGTCAGCACGACGAGCAGTTTGGAGCAGAGAAGAATCCTCAAAGTACACGAGAAATCCTCAAGGTCCCGTATCCGGCCTTAAGGGCCCTAAATCTTTTGGTTGTAGATCACCTTAAAAAACTAGTATGTCTTGGAGTGAAAAGTTTTTCGATGAGGTGGGGATCCGTGGTGAGCCGATTCCCAGATTCGAGATTCTCCAGATTCCCCCTCGAAAACCGCCCCTGTTAATTCATTGCGGCCGCGGGTTTGCTCGGATTACTTTTCACTCGAAGACATACTAGTTTTTAGAGAGAGAGAGATTTTTAGCAATACCAAACAACTATTTTGTTCTAGTTTTTTTTCTTGCGTTCCGGTGCCTACAAAAATATCCGACCGTGGAGCTGAACACAGGGTTTGCGGCGGTCACTGTCCACCAGCGGTCACAGTGGGCCGCGGACACCCGTGAATGACCTTAAACTTTTAGGCCCTCCAAATTCGGTCGGGTCGGAGCGTAGGCCGTAGCCTAGCCCGTAGGTAGCGGAGTGGGCCCCGAGTTTGAAAAGGGCGACAGACGCTCTTGCGTCCTAGCCTCCAACAACGCCTCCCCGGCGCAGAGGGGCCCCCGGAGGGATGCTCAACCGCTCCACGCCACGCCGCTTGCGGCGGTCCTATTCCCAGCTCTCCTCAGGCGCGTTATTTTGGGGAGTGGTGAGATAGACGGCTCGGTCGGGCAGAGCGCGCGCCACGCGCTCGGGTCGAGAGCGAGGAGACGCCGCGCGTCCTGCCGCGCCACTCTCCACATGCCTCGACAATGGCGCCTACTGCTGCTTCTGCTCGCCGTGCCGAGTCGGTGCGCGCTGCCGCCGCAGGACGACTCGCCCGATCAGACGCTCTGCAGAGCCGCGCCGGAGCCGGTGGCGGAGCCTCCCTCGCGTCCGCTCCCGCCCCTTGGCGTCGAGCTGCGGCGGCGGCTGCGCTGGTTCCTCACCCACTATCGCCTCACCGCCTTCACCTCTGAGCTGGGCGAGTCGCTGCGCCCGGTCGTGGCGTCGGCATGGGTGAGCGCCTCGTATCTCGTCTCGTGGCTCTACGTGACGCTGGACGTCGTCATCCACGGCTTCGAGGTGCACGATCTCACGCCGTCGGCCCGCGCCGTTCGGCGCGCCGTGCTGCACGCCTCCACCTTCCAGGCGGTGGCGACGATGCTGCTGCCTGCCGCGTTCATCCACTCGGTCGTGCACGCGGCGCAGCACGTGCTCCTCCACGCGAGGCTCGGCTACGCGTCCCCGCCCCACCTCCTCGGCTGGCGGCGCTGGGTGCCGACCGGCTGCGGCATCGCGTGCATACCTCTGGTGCCGGTCCTGTTCGATCACCCCGTTGAGGCGATCGTCGACCGCGCCTTCGGAGGGCCCAGAGGGGCGCCGGCGGCCGAGCCGGCGCCCGCAGGGGCGGCGGCGGGAGGGCCGGCGGCGGGAGGGGCGCCCGAGCAGAGCTCTCCAGCTCCCGGCTAGGCCTGGCTGTTGAACCTGCTGCGAGTCTCTCTGATTCCTTCGCGCCCTCGTATGCGCTGTGGGCGTGTGTGTGTGTGTGTGTGTGTTTAGGCCCCCTCTGCGGTGTGTGGCGCGGAAGGAGTCGGCTGGGAGCGTGTGCGCGGGGCGAGTGTGCGCTTGGGGCCTGGCGCCGGCGGGGCGCGGCAGCGCCTGCCGGGCAGGGCAGCCGGTGCGGTTGCAGCCCGGACTGACTGGCAGTCGGGAGTCAACCGCTTGGCCTTGGGCCGGCGGCGCAACGGAAGTGGCCAGTGCACACCGCACCAGGGCGGCGCTATTGCGGTGGTACTGGTAGTGCCCGTTCTCCCAGCCCTTGTACGTGGTTAGATATGTATGTAGAGAAACGGGAGAGCCCTTGGGGGGGCAAAAAATCTCGTCACACATAGGAATAGGGACAGGGTGAAGACTGAAATGTACGGCCAATCACCATGCGACGACCGTATACGCATGTGACCGGCGGTGCGGCGCGTGTCGGGACACTGCACACGCCGACCGCTGCCAGTACGGGAACGGCGCCAATCTCCTCGAAGCGGAGTCCGGAGAGGGAGCCGTGTCCGGCGTCTACTCCTCGCAACACGAGACCCGCCGGCGTGTTGACCGTACACACCGCAAGTTGCCGCAAAATCGCATGGGTCACAGCCCCACGTCGTCCCAGCACAGCGGCGCCGCCGTGCAAATACTGCACATGCGTGCATCACTCGACCGCCATTCCCTCACGCTCCTGCAAGCCGTTGTCTATGGACCCGCGGCCGGCACCAGCGTTCGCCTCGGCATGATCGTATATCTTCTCCGTTGTCAATGTTTTTGTTCGTCGCCTGAGAGCACGCCGGGAGATCAGCGAAGAAGGCGGTTGGGCCTGCGTCGAGACTCTGTTTCGGCGCGCCTGTGCTTCGGCGTCCTCTGGTGGTCTGCCAGCGCCTGGGCGGAGATGCAGTACTTGCTGCGGCGGCGGGGCGCGGAGCACGTGGTGAGCACCCTGCTGCCACCGCTGGCTCGCGGGAACGGGAAACGGCCAGGCGGCGGCCGCGCGTGGCGCGAGGGCGGGGCGGGTCCGGCGTGCCTGCAAGCTATGCAAAAGTACTGCCCCAGTCCTGGCAGGTCTGGGTCGGGCACGGTTTTTTCGGCGAGCACCTTCTCCGCCACACCGGGCGCCAGCTGTCGCGCGCAGATGTCGTCCCACCGCCCCTTGTTGACGGTGTGCTTGAGGCCGGACTGGCGGTGGTCCTTGTTTGCGTGGCGCCGGCCGCCGCCGCCAACCTTGCGGCCGCCCCTCCCGCCCTTCTTGCCCATCCGGGTGTGCGAGGCTGCGCGGCTGCCGGGGTGGAAGGCGACTCGAGCGTGCAGGCGAACAAGAGTGCGCGAAGAAGGCGCGTCGACGAGCGAGCAGAAGGCCAGAAAAGAAAAAAATCCCGCGAAAAGCGGTGGAGCCGGGAGAAGCTGGCGAAGACGAAGGGCGGCAGCGGAGAAAGCGACACCAACAACGAGGGAAACGACCATACCGGTCGTCGCATAACGCTCGGGAGACGAGCAAGAGAGCGAATCAAGGAAGGTCGGGACCCTGGGAAGACGAGGGGTGAGCCCTCAGCGGGTCTACTCGAGTGTCTGCGCAAGTGAGTGTAGAGCGGTGGTGTGGGGCGTGCAGTGTGGTGTTCATTAGCTCCGAGTAGAGGGGGCGTCCTGCAGTTAAGGGGAAACCCGGTACGCGGGGCTAACCCTCGGAGACCCGTGTTTACTTTACGGCGCCCTTGCCCTGCGAACGCGCACCCCCAGGGCTAGGGCTCTCTTGCCCGCAACCCGATGCCAATCATCCGGCCCGCTGGGTGCGCTTCTTAGCTCCCCGGCCCTGGATGTGCGGTTAATGACTGCACTCCAAGTGCTCCAAGTGCGCAAAGCACTTCCGACAGCACCCCCACACGCACGGCGGAGCCCGAACCCAGGCCCGGAAGTATGGATTCGGTAGTTTTGACCGCGCAAGATAAAGGGTGGCTAAGCCTAAGGGCTCTGCCCGCAAGGCGCCCGCGTCTCAGACGCGCGGCGTCCGATCGGGGATCTAGTCGAGGCTGTTCGGACAAGGGGAGCAGCGGAGGGGTGGCCTGCGGCTCCGGCTGCGCGCCGCCGGCAAAGGCAGTGCCGCGTTCGAGGCGGCTCTCCATCCCCTGTCAATCCCGCCGCCTCCCCTGTCAATCCCCCGCACCACCGCCGCCACCGCCTCGCGCGTTTAGCGGGGGGTCAAAACTTAAAAGCAAAAAGGAGGACAGCCTATAAAGAAAAGAAACGCAAGGGCGAAGGTGCCACCTTATCAACCACAAGCAAAAGGCCCGCGCGTGCTGGGTTCCGGCTCCTACCCAGATAGGGGGTCTGTCCACACTGGCTGGCCCCTACAGTTGTATGCAATAGGTAGGTAGGTAGGTCCGCTTTTGACCGCCCCAGAGGGCCCCGCAATAGGTAGGTAGGTGGTGGTGGTGGGGTGGGGGTGGGGGTGTTGGGGGGGAGGGGTTTAAAAAACCGCTTCGCTCGCGCGGGAGACGGCTAGCCGCGAACGGGCCATGCCAGACGAGTCGCCTGCGGCTGGGACGCCAGCCGAGACGGGTGCGGCGGCGGCGCCCGCGGAGCCTATTCACAGAAGGGCTAAACGGGTATTTTTCGCTTCGCTGCGCGGCCCCGCAATAGGTAGGTAGGTGGGGCACGGAGCCTGGCGGTTGGCGCCCGCAATAGGTAGGTAGGTAGGGCGTTTTTGGCGCGACTCAGTGTGAAGACCGCGCGAGATCTTCAGCGCCGTCATCCCGCCTGTCACACTCAACGGCACCGCTGGCACGCGCGGCAAGAACGGCATCGTGCCGGATGGGCGCCTGCACTGCAAGCTGCGCGAGTCCCGCACGGCGCGCTGCACGGGCACACGAGGCCAGGCGCATCCGTCTGTCCGGTGGCGCGGCACGACAGTGCAGCGCGGGCCCGAGCAGCCGCCGGCGGAGCACCTCCTCGAGGGCAAGACCATCCACCGCGGCGGGCCTCACTACATGAGCGCTCGGGCGCGCGACGATGGCCAGGGCGGCGCTGTCGCCGACAGGGCGAACCTTGTCCAGCGCGACTACGAGGCGCGGGCGGCGGCGCTCGATGCCAAGCCGCACGTGCAGGCATGGAACAACGGCTCGAGGGACGCCGTTTCCTCCGTGCTGCGCTCGTTTGGCACCGTGCGCAGCCTCGTTGTCGGGGCCTACGCGGAGGCGTCGGACGACCTGCACCAGCTGTTCGACTGTGTGGTGGAGTCGGCATCCAAGCAGCACTGGAGGCGGATCGGCGCGCGTAGCGCGAAGGAGGCGCGGTCCTACTTCGCTACGACGCTGCGGCGGGCGTGGGGCGTGCACTTTGCGCGCGAGTTCGCGCGGCACCGCATCCGACGCGTGGTGTTCGTGGGGGCCCCGCGGCGACAGCCGGGCAGGCCTCTCGCGACGGCCGATGGAGACTGGCCAGCGCTGTCGGCGGGCGAGTTTGCGGCGCACGCGCTGCGCGTAGGCGGCGCGTGGGCGGGCGGCCCGCCCGGCCGTCGGTGAGCACCGGACGCGAGGGTCGGTCGGCTCTTAACTAGCTGTATATAGTCGCGATCTGCCGGCGTGCGTATGAGCTCACTAGCTAGAGCTCACACTAGAGGCCGTCATCGCAGTCGCCTTCCTGGGACCCAGCGCTGACTTCTGACTGTCGTTGCTGTCTCTCCCCCTTCTCGACTGTCTGTGCTTGTGCGTCTTGGGCCGGAGTTGTGCGTTTACTGAAGACCCCCTATCTGGGTAGGAGCCGGAACCCTGCGCGGGCCCGGCGAGCACGACCTAGGTAGCGAGCCAGCCTGCTAGTACATGTGTATGGGCCGTCGAGGTGGCGGCGCTGCTCGCCGGCGCGAGCCGTACGCGATTGGCGCCGCGGCGGAGCCGATCCCCGAGATTGAGGAGTATGTGCCGCTCACCGACCCAAAGCACTTCTCGCGCCTCCTCTACGCGAACCCCGTCTCGATCCTCACCACTGCCGACGACGGCCGGCGGCGGCACAACGCGATGGTCGTCTCTTGGCTCACGCCCATCAACAACCACGGCGTCTTCCTGATGTCAATCAACAAGCAGCGCTTCTCCGCGACGCTGCTCCTCCAGCGGCGGTCGTTTTGCCTCTCCGCGGCCATTCACGGCATGGAGTCGGTGCTGCTGGCCATCGGCCGCTGCCACGGCCACTCGATCGACAAGTTCGCCACCCTCGGTCTCGCAAAGGTGCCCTTCGCCGCGGGCATCGCCGACGAGAGCGCTGGAGCCGGCGCGGGCGCGGCGGCCAATGCGTTCTCCGCCCTCGGAAGCAGCAGCGGGAGCGGTGGCAGCGGCAGCGACGGCAACGGCGGTGAGGGCGCGGACGAGGGCGGAGAGGGTGCGCTGCCGCCGCTGCCCGACGTGGGCGTGGGCGGCGCGGCCGCCCTCATGCTGTGCGAGGTGCTCTCAGTCGCCGACTCGGTCGAGTGCGGACCCGGCGACGCGGAGGCTGCGGACTCGTGCCACCACATCGTCACCGCGCGCGTGACGAGCGCGCGCGTCAGCCGCGCGCACTGGAACGGCAGGCAGTTCTGCGCCGCGCGGGGAGGCGCCTCGTTCCTCGAAAGCCGGCCGGCGCTCTCGTTCCTCGGCTCGCAGACTTTTGCGTACGTGTGCGCCGGCCCCGGCGGCGGCGGAGAGGGCCCGGCCGCGGAGGAGGGGGCGGAGCAGATACGACTTGACTCTTGAGAGTAGTTGGGGTACGAACCACCGCTGCGCCGCAGGAAGACATTTATCGCAAAAAGAAAACTTGGGCCTTCTCTTTGTCGAAAGACCCTCCCCCCTCCCTCCTCTTTGTCCTTTCTTTTCCTTTCCTCTGGGCCCCAGAGGAAAGGAAAAGACTGGGGGGAGGCGGGGGCCCCCGGAGGCACCGTGCGCCGCGCCGCAGTGTCGTGCGGAAACGGGGCTCCGGGGCTCTATTAGTCTCTATTAGCACCGACTTCCCGATTAAGCTAGGTTAATCAGAGGGCAGATTTGGAAAGATCTCGAGGAGTACATACAGATAGACCCTCCAATCATCAGAAAACTCCGACCTGATTGGTCGTACTGACCGCCGACAGATCACTCCAGACAGCAGACAGGCCGACGTCTGCACGCGGCCGGCCGGGCGAGAGGCTTGACACGATCCGACCCTGCGACCCTGACGCTGCTGCTCTAGCTATCAGACATGCGCTGCTGACTGCTGCCACAATGTGCGACCGGTGCTGACCCACTTGGCGGCCTTCCCGGTCAGTGGTGAGGCGCAGTTCAGAGCTGTCGATGGCGCGATGCCGCACTGGTCCCACATCGGTGACACGAGACCACCAAGTTTGCCGGTCCAAGAGAGAGGCACCGGCGCTGTCCTGAGAAGGTGCATGGTCCCTCTTGACTGCCCATGCGCGCGAGGCTGTGTAGGCATAGCCTCGAGAGTGCCAGCAGCCAATCCGAGGCAGTTTGTGACGCGCATTGCGTCAGAAGCGTGCACGCGCTGGAAGGACACCTTCCTACTGGCCGTACGATCAGGTCGTCACTGAATGCCGAAGACTAAGGCCGCGAGCTATGCAGGCGGTCAGTTGAGCAGCATGGCACGGTCAGCAGCGCCGAAAGGATGTCGCAAGGCGTGATAGCATGGCCGCAAGTACGCCGAATTCCCATGAACAAGTAAAAAATCGCCCGAAAAAGAAAAAATGCCAAAAAAATCGGCGCCTGCGGCGGGCTGGGGGTCCCCATCCCCCCCAAAAAACACCGTTCGTCTGAGACACAAATAAATAAATAAATAAAAACGGACACCTCTCTACTGTGAGATGGGTAAAAAGGAACAGGTCCCCGCCCTTGCGATCTTTGTGCAGGGTTCTTTGAGAGAGAGAGATTTTTAGCAATACCAAACAACTCTAACACTCACACGTCATTTGGGTTTTGTTTGTTCTTTGTGGGTGTGGTCGGCGACTTTCTAGCCGGGGTCGTCCTCCCGATGGGGGACTAGCACTAGCCGTCTTTCACATGGTCCCTCGGGTCCCTGCGGCTCCTAATCTCTTCGTACATCCTCCTGCTGATCTCCGCAAAGTCCTGCTCCCTCCCTCGTCTCGCCCTGCGCGACTGCTCCGCCTCACCGTCGTCTGCCCTGCGTCGTCTGGCGACGGGTCCTCCATAGTCAGTCGAGGTGGGCGCCCTGCTCGCCGTCCGCGCGGTCCATCGCCGCATCCCCATCCCCGTCTGTGGCAGTGCCGCCTGCGCCCGCGCCGGCCTGCTCTGGGACGGCGCGCCACCGCTCGTCGTCCAGCATGTGCCACCACCGCCGACCCGAGTAGCCGTCGTACTCGATCTCGTGTGCACGATCCGTCCGTCCACGTCCTCCTCCCGCGCCATGACGGTCGCGGGGTACCACCGCTCGCGGTGTCACAGAAGATCTCGAGGCGCGATCCGGTGGGCAGGACAGTGTGGCCGTGGAGCGCCGCCCTGGCATCCTAGGACTATGAGCGGCGGCGCTCACAATCGTACCCAAGATCCAAGGATTGCTAGCAATCGCACAGAGGGCGCTCCCAATCGCTCCAGCCGCGGGCGCTTGTGAGTGAGCGCGCCGGGATGGTCTCCTCACAATCCAAACAGTGATCGCACCGATTGCGAGGGCACCCGCTCGCATTCCTAGAAGTCATAGGACTGTGGGCGGTGTCGCTCGTAATCGGCGAAAGTTCTAGGATTGTCTGCTGTGAGAGCTCCCTGACATTTACCTTTGGTGTGAAAAGCTGGGATCTACCGCGGTTTTGCGCGATCTACGCACGTAGTAGATCGCGCAAGACCGCGGTAGATCCCAGTAGATCGCGATAGAACGGGGAGCTGCAGTCGTTCGCGATCTACTGCAGTCTACTGCAGTCTATTCCAATCTATGGTGTTGCCGCCGCAGGCGTAAACCGCGCAAAATTGGGGTAGATGGGAGTATATCTGGCAATCAGAAGAAATAGAGGTATTCAGCAGTCTACAGGGGTATTCCGCAATCCACAGCAGTCTACAGCAGTCTACAGCAGTCTACTGCAGTCTACTGCAATCTACTGCAGTCTACCGCAGTCTACTGCAGTCTACTGCAGTCTATCCGCCGATTTCTCGTTACTGATGGCCGTGTGTGTGGCAGAGATGTGCGTAGCTCAGAGGGTGTCTGGGGGCGACGAGAACCATCCAAAGTCCACAGCAGGCTGCACCGGCTGCACGAATTCGTTCAGAGGCTGAACCACTGCTCGCCGGCGGTCGCAGGCTCCGCACGTTCAGCTATGCAAAACGGCGGCGGCGGGCTGGCTGGGGCGCCTAGCGGGTTAGCAGAAAGCCCTGGTATACGGTTGACAAGAGATCTACGTCGAGCATTCCCGACGATGCCCGCTCCACCTGAGAGTAGGTCTCAGCGGAAAATGCAGCCCGTCGGCTACGGGGATGCAGCCCGCGATGTCCATGCAGCCTGGCAGACGCGCGCGGCAATGTCATCCGGCACGGCATCCGTTAGTAGCACGCGCCTCTGCCGTATTTTGAAGGCGGCGGCTTGCGTGAACTCATGCTGCATGCCCGCGTCCTTGAGCTCTCCGGCGAGGGCATCCTCAAACTCGGGCACAACGCATACCCTCCCACGGCCGCCCACGCGGCAGAGGACCGTGCACTTAGTAAATCTGGTCTCTCCAGGAAAGAAGACGTTTGTCTGCCCGCGGTGCCACTCTGTCACCACACCTCGACGGGCGAACGCTCGCTCGAGCTCGGCGACGCTCATACACAGATTTGACGGCGGGCAGAAAAGAAGGGAAAAACCCTCGCGGGCAAGGGACTGCAAAAGAAACAATTCGGAGCTTCGTTATTACTCTTTCAACGCGCGTCCCGTTCGTTCGCTCGGCTGGACTGACGTATGGGCTTCAAGAGCAACATCTCGAAGAAGCGCGCCGCCGCCGCCGCCGCCCGCCGAGACCGCCAGTCGGGCTGGTCAGCGACGGAGCCGAGCGTCACCCCTCCTCTCCCGACGTTGCAGGGCAGCGACGGCTCTCAGAGCCATCCCTCCTTGCATCACCAGTCTGCCGCACCACGGCCAAAGTAATGATGGGGTTGGTGATCAATGTGCCGTTTTCGGTGTGGGGCGGTGAGTGGGCCGCGTCCACGGAGCACCTCCCTGGAATGATCGTCAACTACAGGCGCGGCATCTTCACTCTCAAATTTGCCACGTGTCGGCATGGCTCGGCATGTGCACCTCCCAGCGTACGTGGTCCTCATGGCGCCGACCCCTCCTGGGACAGATCGTGCGGCCCTCCGCCTCCTGCCGGCGCCCACTCCTGTCACATGGCGAGAGGAGATATTGACAGGCACCTCGTCCATTTGCACAGCAGAGCGCGCATGGGAGAGGGAGCGGGGAGAGGCGGGATGGGAGCTGCAGCCTCTGTGTGGCCTCCGACTTGTCCGGCGGCAGCAGTGCTGCCGGGGGCGCCCGGGCGGTTCCTCCAGCGGCGCGCGAATGCCGTGGGGCTCGCGCGAGCTCTCTGACGCTCGAGCGGTTCTCCAGTCTACTGCAGTCTACTGCAGTCTACTGCAGTCTACTGCAGTCTACCGCAGTCTACAGCAGCCTCCAGCAATATTCCCGAGTTTTCGCCAATCTATCCCGATTTTGCGCAGTCAACTCCAGTATGGCCAAGAGGACTATATTGGAGTAGACTGCGGTAGATTGCGGTAGACCGGCCATGTGAGGAGCCTGTCCAGTCTTCAGCAGTCTTCAGCAGTCTACCACAGTCTACCGCAGTCTACCACCTTGCAATACCGCGCAATATCGCTATAGATCTGAGTAGGTCGCGATAGATCTGGCCCTTGCGGTCTACCCCAGTCTTCCCCGATCTATTCACACCGTATGGGTAAATGTCAGGGAGCTCTGAGAGAGAGTTCTTTTGTTTAAATTCTAGGATTGCGAGCGCTACTGCTCGCAACCGGAGGCATGTTGCTAGGATTGTGAGCCAAGCTGGTCGCAACCCTAGAGTTTGCTCGGATTGTGAGCGCGCTGGTAGTAGTCGTAGGCGTCACCAGTCACCTTGTGAGCGGAGCTGCTCTTAGTCCTAGAAGACGTAGGATTGCGAGCGTGGGTGCTCACAGTCGCAATCCTTCGACTTCTAGGATTGAGAGCGAGGCTGCTCTCAATCCTAGCGGTCTACAAAAGAAGGTTCACCGTAGGTTGGGCTGTTTGGCGCGATGGCGCCCCGACCCCTTCTGGTGAGGCGAACCCAAAACGTCTGGGCATGCGGGCGGCGCGGCGCGGGCTTGCCCGCTTCAGCGATCACATCTTGCCGTCCCCGTCGGGTGTCGCTCGTGATGGCATTTGCTGTCACTCTCCGGGCTGCGCTCGCGGCCCACGCCGCACCGCTCTCGCTTTCCCATGTGTCGTCGCCGTCGCTGCTTTGCCGTGTGGCGTCGCCACGACTCGAGCAGCCTCTGCCCGCCCACGAGGCTGACGGAGAGGCGCGCCGCCGGCTAGACGTTGAGTTTGCGTCAATCGCTGTGCCGGCGCTGGCTCAGTTTGCTGCCGAGCCCTTGGCTGGCCTCGTGGACACCGCCTACCTCGGCCGTCTCGGTGCGACAGCGCTCGGTGGCGCCGGCATCGCCATCGGGGCGCACTTCGCGACTGCCAAACTCTTCAACGACCCTCTCCTTCGCACATCCATCTCGATTGTGGCGTCCGGCGACGGCGCGGCACGGCTCGGCGGCGAGGACTCACGAGACGCGGCGATCAGCGCGGCGCTCGTCCTCGCCCTCTGCGTCGGGCTGCTGCAGTTGGCCTTCTTTGCGCTCTTCGCGCCGCGGATGGTATCGGCGATGGGAGCCGGCGTCGGCTCTCCGATGCGCCCGACCGCGTTGTCTTACCTCCGTGTGCGCGCTCTCGGCATGCCTGCGGCAACGCTGTGGCTCTGCAGCAACGGCGTCTTCCGCGGATTGGGAGACACGCGCACGCCTCTCATTTGGGCGCTGCTCTTCTCGCTGCTCAATGCGCTCCTCGACCCGCTCTTCATCTTCCCGCTCGGCTTGGGCGCGGCGGGAGCGGCTGCGGGGACGGGCCTCGCCCAGTCCATCGCCCTCGTCGGCCTGCTTCGAGCGCTCTCGCGGCGAACCGGCGTGTCGGTGTCGCCCCTCTCGCTGCTCTCCCTCGCCTCCCTCCGCCGGCTCGCCCCGTCCCTGAGGGCGTACGGCCGCGCCGGCGTGCTCGTCTTTGTTCGGACGGTCGGCAAGGTCTGGGCCTACACGTACTGCACTCGGCTGGCAGCCTCGCTCGGCGCGGTGTCGTCGGCGGCGCACCTGCTCTGCTTCAACCTCGGCGTCGTGCTATCTCAGCTCTGCGAGTCGGTTGCCGTCGCGACGCAGACTCTCCTCGCGCGGGCGCTGGGCAGCCTCGACGCGATGGCGAAGGATGGCGAGGGGGCGGAGGAGGCCAAGCGCGCGGCTCGGCGCGACGCGTGGCACGTGATTGGGCGTGGTGTGCTTGTCGGCGGGGGAGTGGCGGGCGTGCTCACTGCGGTGACGGCTTTCCGGCCTGCCGCCGTTGTGGCGAGCCTGACGACCGACGTGGTGGTACGAGAGACGTGCGCGTCGATCATGGCGCCCGTCCTGCTATGCCAGCTCTTCAAGGGCCTTGCTTTCCCCGCAAATGGCGTCGTGATGGGAGGCCTCGATTGGGGCTTTGCGACGGCGGGGATCTGGCTTGGCTCGGCTCTGTGCGTGGGTCTCGCGCACTTGCGTGCCCCGCCCACGCTGCACTCGATCTGGTGGGGGTTCGCTGCCTTTATGGCTTCGCAGACTGTCCTCAGCGTGGGGAGGGTGCTGAGCAGGACGGGGCCGTGGGGGCGGCTGTACGGCGGGGCGAGGGGCTGGCGAGGGACAGCGGCAGGCAGTGATTCGTAGGTGCGGTGGACACGTGATCTTCGAGAAAAAAGTATTATCCCAACACGGTGGCGCGGAGGGCTTGTTGGTGAGCCAAAATGGTTATCTCCGATCGGGTGCACCCATGGGTGCACCCGAGCCCACGACTAGGTCCAGCCCTGGGTGGCGCAAGATCTGACGTTCTGTGACAATCGTCAGATCCGTGTTTTTCTCGTTGTTTTGTCGCTCGCTCCGCTCGCCACCTCACGCTCCGTAGTCCGGCCACTGGCCAGTACCCCGCGTCTCAGTGAGACGCGTGGTACCATCCAACTCCGGTCGAAGGGCTCGAATGCGCTCAGCCTCAGGAGGAACAAAACCACGCAAATTCTGCACGCCTCGCTGCGCCGCTGGCTTGACTGAATCAGGCAGCAGGCTGCTGCTGCTGCTGCCACAGCAGCAGTCTGCTGCGGCCCTAATACGCAAGTTAATGACTAGCAGCACTGCCGGGGGCATACGAGCCGCCACAGCCGGTGTGCGGCCGTGCACTGCCACCTGCCTGCGGCTACGCACAATGTGCGCTCGCATTGGATGAGCCCTGCTGATGGACCTGCGTCGCCTAGCTGCACGAGAGCAATTCTAGGGTACCCAAACTCCGGGCCGGTGTGCGGGGAGCGAACCTTAACGATCGCCCAGAAGCTTTCTGAGCGAACCAATCGGGCCGGGATCATCAGCATATGTCCCCTGCACAACATCGTGGGCGTTTGAGCGGTATTTGAGGAGCACCGCGACTCTGAAGTTCGGCCGGGTGGTCTGCAGACCCCCCCCCCCGGAGCAGCAGAGGCTCCGTGGGGTTGAAAAGTCGACGCTGGGAGTCGCACTCGTCAAACCGTCGCAACATCACGCGGTCCGCACGTACCGCCCACATCCCCTCCACCACTGAGAAGGCGCAGATCGACCGCCGGGCCGCGTAGTCGTCGTTAAGGAGCGGTTTTTGGAGCCGTACGAAGAGGTCCCTGACAGGCGAACATGCGGTTTTTCGACGACCACACGCGATGTGGTATCTGGTTTTTGCTAAAAACGGGCCGCCTAGTGCAGCATCACTAGTACAACACGAAACCACACTGATAGCTCCACACTAGCCGGTATAGGCGAGCCCCGGCGGCCTCACCGTCGCCGCTCGCGGCGGAGCCGACGGCGGAGCCACGGGCGGGTGCGACCTTTTGGGGGGACATGAGCTCGCCAGGACGTCACCGATGGCTCGGCGCACCTCTTCCCGCCAGCGCGGGGCGGCCTACCTACAGGAGCGAGGGGGAGGAAGACGGAACTGAGCACTAGGTTCGTGACCCCGTCGCCGGCAACGGCTGGGAGAGGGGCGGCAAGCGACGGGCGGGTCCGCGACCTTTTGAGCGCCCATGAGCTCGCCGGGACGTCGTCGATGGCTCGGCGCGCCTCTTCCCGCCTGCGCGGGACGGCCTGCCTACAGGAGGGAGGGGGGGGAGACGGTAGGGTTAGGGTTAGGGTTAGGGTTAGGGCTAGGCTGTCTAGGCGATCAGGCCCCTTAGGCCTCCAGGCTCATCAGGCCCATCAGGCCCGTCAGGAGCTTCTTCCGCCGCAGCAGCAACCTTAACCGCGCGCTGCGCTTAGGCCACACCTCAACCTGCTGCTCACGCAGCTCTTTAGGAATAGGAGCTGCAGCTCTTACCTTAGGATCTGCAGTTCTTAACTTAGGAGCTGCAGCTCTCAAGCGCGCGAAAGGCATTGGAGCCGATATTGTTGCGCGCCGTCTCGACGCTGAATCTCGCCATGAATAGTTGCAGCTCTTATCATTAGGAGCTGCTTAGGAGCTGCTTAGGAGCTGCAGATGCTCTGAGAGAGACAGTAAGCTCTAAAGCTAAGAGCTGCAGCTTCAAAACCGAAGGCAAGTAGCTTCTTCGAGCTTTAAAAATCAAGACCTCGATCTCTGCTTTATATGACTACATCTCGCCATTAGAGTTGCAGATCCTATCATTAGGAGTTGCTTAGGAGCTACAGATCCTCTGACAAAGACAGATAACTCCTAAGTAAGAGCCGCAGCTCCTGTCACGAACCCAGGTAGCTCCTAACGAGCTCCTATACTGTCTAGACAGGCGAGACGCGGCAACGCCGCGGCGAGCTCGTTTAGGAGCGAGGCGCAAGCCGAGTCCGTTTTAGAGCGAGCGCAGCGAGCCGATAGAGAGAGAGGGGGAGGGTTAGTTACGAGCGCAGCGAGCCTGATAGAAAGCCCCGCGCAGCGGCAAAAAGGCCCCGCGCAGCGGCCAAAAAAGCCCGCCGCAGGCGCGGGGGGTCCGGGGGGCAGCCCCCCCCGGCTTGACGCGGAGCAGATCGCCGCACACACAGTGTTGAAGATCGTGCAATAATATGATAGAATGCGGCTTAGGCACGAGAGAACGACCAACAACCACCTCAACCGCGGCATTCGCCGCTCTAGCCTAGGGTAGGAGAAGCTCGCTTGGCTCTAGGGGATGGGCTGTAGAATAGGCTCACTGCTGTTGACCTACTCGTAGACATTAGAGCCAGCTCTAGGGCTCGCAGCTCTTATGATAAGAGCTGACCAATAGGAGCTGCAGCTCTTGACTTAGGAGCTACTTGTCTTTGTCAGCTCCTATCTTATAGGAGCTGACTTAGGAGCTACTTGTCTTTGTCATAGGATCTGCAGCTCTTAAGCGGAAGACTACTGCAGCTCCTGTCTTAGGAGCTGACTTAGGAGCTACTTGTCTTTGTCATAGGATCTGCAGCTCTTAAGCCGAAGACAAGTAGCTCCTATCTGGCTCCTATCTTAGGAACCACAGCTCTTGACTTAGAGCTACTTGTCTTTGCCCCTTTAGAGCTGCAGCTCTTATCACAAGAGCTGGACAAGGTCTAGCTAAGGTTGGATGGTAGAAGAGCTTCAGCTCCTATCTAAGATCTTGTCTTCGCCTTTAGAGCTGCCGCGCCGGTACAGGCTAGGAATGGCCTGAGAAGAGGATTGTCTGTACTCACCTCTACTGCGGCTGCCGCCGCTTAAGAGTAGGCTCGGATTAGGCTAGGATTGGACTTCTCGAGGCCTGCTGGAACCTCTTGTCTCTGCAAACAAGCACTGCTGCCGCAAACTGGCTGCCGCCACCTGGCTGCCGCCGACTAGGATTCGGCCATAGGAACTGCAACTCTCTGACCAATAGGAGCTGCAGCTCTTGACTTAGGAGTTACTTGTCTTTGCCATAGGAGCTGCAGCTCTTGACTTAGGAGCTACTTGTCTTTGCTATAGGAGCCGCAGCTCTTGACTTAGGAGCTACTTGTCTTTGCCATAGGAGCTGCAGCTCCTGACTTAGGAGCTACTTGTCTTTGCCATAGGAGCTGCAGCTCCTGACTTAGGAGCTACTTGTCTTTGCCATAGGAGCTGCAGCTCTTGACTTAGGAGCTACTTGTCTTTGTCATTGGATCTGCAGCTCTTAAGCCGAAGACTAGTAGCTCCTATTAGGAGCTGCAGCTCTTATATATAAGAGTTAGGCTGGAGTTAGGCTGGAGTTAGGCTGGAGTTAGGCTGGAGTTAGGCTGGAGTTAGGGTTAGGGTTAGGGTTAGGGTTAGGGTTAGGGGTAGGGTTAGGGTTAGGGTTAGGGTTAGGGTTAGGGTTAGGGTTAGGGTTAGGGTTAGGGTTAGGGTTAGGGTTAGGGTTAGGCTTTAGGGTTAGG